ATCCCATCTGCCCACAATTGACGCTGTCACGCATATGGTGAATTCTGTTATATCCGTCTTACACACATTACTGCGTGTTGGACTTTTCTTGATTAGGAAGACGCCTTTTTTTCTCCCCACCGGAGAATGAACGTTCTTTGAAGGTAGTCCGACACATGACATTTTTAATTTTGAATCTAGTACTCCTGTAGATCCCAATTCATTTCATTTAATGGCACAGAGCCATCTTCATTAAACATCGTTTCGGGTATTATTCCATCCCCTTTCTTTTTTTCTATGCACACACGGAATCTCACGATTTCCTGCAACTTTAATGCCCGAAAATATGCTTACGATACAGCTTTTGACCACTCCAGGACAGTTTCAATAAAATTGACGATTGGTCTGTACCCCGAAATCTTGTACTTACGTTCCTTTTAGTCTTAAAACAAACCCCCTTCTCCTTGCACTGGTAGGTAATCTTCCTGATCATATAGTCACTGATCAAACCAAGCTCAAATCTGATTTGGTTTAATACCTCTGGGACAACCTTCCGCATAAACTACCCTGGTCCGCTCATGTTACAAACGTTTTACAAATTTTTGAAGACTGTCTTTTCATGCATACAGGCTAAGAAGAATGGTCGTTTCACATAACTTTATTTTTAAATACGTGATTGCATCCATCCACACTGGTAAAGCTATTCCACGATATTTATGCCTGGTTTAAAAGAAAAGGATTCAACCTTGTTTTTAGAGCCCTCAAAAGTTCGCGTGGATACAGTCGAATTGACACAGTTGTTTTGGTGAAGTTTTGGTATTTTGCAAACATTTCGATGCTTGCGATGCTTTTATTGACAGGATCACACGGACATTGTCTGCATTCCGAAATTATGAGTCGTGTCAAATTCTGAACTGGATCTAAATCCTTCCTCCACATAAAGCCTCATACAGAAACAGTGTAATTCTATAACAGACTCGGCCTTGGGTTAATCGCAGGACCATTGTCGCCCTCCTCAATACCGAATTTATTTTCTGTTATTTCTGAATCGCAAGCTTTTATATTCATCATACAAGTTTCTAAATTGTTAAAAATACACCTTTTCAGTGCACAAAGCGTTGCCAGACTTGACTTAACAATCGAACGCGAAAAGAACAATAAACTACAGTTTTTGAAATTATCTCTCGGTAGAATGGAAGATGGTGGTATCAAACGAAAGGTGTGCCGAATACCGACATGGAGTGGTCATGTTTCGTTGGCGCAGTGGTTTAGTCGTTGTCACCGATGTGCTTTGGATCCTATGGTCAGAAATTCGAGCACCGCCACCGTCACCCGACTTTGGTGGTAGGCAGCTCCAATGTCGTTCGGTTCAATACCACGCCTAACCTATCTGGGTCTTATGTGATTCACCACTCCAAGTCCGGGGGCTTAGGTTGCCGGTTTCCATCACTGAAAAGCAGGTTTTCCGGACTATAGGGTTCGTCCCGTCTGCTGTTCATCACACACTGGTGTGTAATAAAAAAACACAAAGGTAACCTAGTGAAACGTTTGGCGGCCACAGCAAAGGCAATCGGTTCTGATGAGGTTTTGGATGAATCAACGCTCATCAGAAACACATGCGAGGATGAATACTAGGATCGTTTTATCGAAAAAAATCTGATGGTATAAATACCGAAAACTCTGATGGAAACCGTGTGAAAGAAAGATTTATTAATCAATTTGCCATTGTAGAGCGATATTGTAAATGAGATTCCAATCTGGCGTCTGGATGGACTAATTAGTGGCGCAGCCAAATTACTGCGTATTTCGAGGTACTCCCAGGATTGAGATCAAAACAAGGACAAACTATCAAAGCAGCCAACTTCATCTATTATTTGTGTACTCTTCCAGATGCATTTGCGGTGCACCTTATGTTGTTCATCCGGAAAGACAACTATTTACCCAGATTAAAGAGAATCACTTACGATAGTTAGGACTAGGACAGAATGGATGAATAAACAGCGCAATCCTAGAGGATTAAATCCACACTGGATATTAAGTGAATCCGAACGTCGGTTTCAAAGTTGTTTATCGTGTTACTCGGAACAAAATCCAAAGGGCTCAACTGTGTTCAACTAGCAATAATCAGTACAACCGGGATAGGAAAGTTGACCCCTGACCTCTGCGTCCAAAAGTATTTGGGAGGGGTGATCGATCAGGACTGATTGATCCCGCCATTCAGTCACCCAGAGGCGATAAGATGGTTAAATCAATCAAACGATAAAGGCGAGTTGACCGTGACAAATACTTACCCATGATTGACGATATTTAACCGTATGATCCGTCTTCTAGTGTTACCCATACAATTTGTAAACGGCTTGAGAATTAATTTCCGAGGAACACTTGTTTCGTCAAACTCTGGTCTAAACCATACGGTTACTTTATGATATATCGTCAGAGCACTTGCCCGGAAATTTAAAAGGAATGATGGATTGAGAAAACGAGTCGGTGAGCGAACAATTGTTTTCGGATATTCCTAGTCATGCTCTTACATATCATATGGTGGAAAAAATTCTTTCATAATCATAGCCATTGGCTCATTTTAAAGT